CTTCTACCGGGGCGCGTACCCGGCCCCCTCGGACTTCGGCGTGCACTGCAGCAGCCAGACCACCGTGCTGGACCTGGACACTCACGTGGTGACCACGGTGGAGAACGGCTACTTGCACCAGGACTGCTGCGCCTCCGCCCACTGCCCCTGCTGTGGCCAGGGCGCCCCAGGACCCGGCCTGGCGTCCGCCGCCGGCTGCAAGCGCAAGTATTACCCTGGCCAGGAGGAGGACGAAGACGACGAGGAGGACGCTGGCGACCTGGGAGCCGAGCCCCCCGGGGGCGCCCCGTTCGCCCCCTGCAAGCGCGCCCGCTTCGAGGACTTCTGCCCGGACTCGTCCCCGGACGCGTCCAACATCTCAAACTTGATCTCCATCTTTGGCTCGGGCTTCTCGGGGCTGGTGAGCCGACAGCCGGACTCCTCGGAGCAGCCGCCGCCGCTCAACGGGCAGCTGTGCGCCAAGCAGGCGCTCGCCAGCCTCGGCGCCTGGACTCGAGCCATTGTCGCCTTCTAGGGACCCCCGAGGGCACGGGGACCCGGGGCCCCGCGGGGCTGGGGCCAGACAAAGACTCGGCCAAGGGGCGAGAGGAGGGAGCGAACGGGCGCCTGGCCACCCGGGGCTGAGCTGAGGGCGAGCAGGGGGAGGCGGCTGATGTTTTATAAATTGTAAAATAAAAAAAAAAAAAAAAAAAAGAAAGAAAGAAAGAAAAGAAATCTATGATCTTGGACTTTATTTTTGCAGAGAGAAAAAGCGCCTATTTAAGTATGCTTTGTGTTTCTCCTACTCTTTTTTTTCTTTTTATTGTAGTGATTGCAGTGGTGTTTAGCGAGGAGCCAGCCACGTGAGGGAGGGCTGCTGCCCGGAGGAGGTGCCGGGCAGCCGGGGGCGAGGCAGGGCGCCCGGGCCGCCAGGGCGCGCCGGGGACGCAGCGCAGGAGGGCGCGGGGCCCGGGACGCCGATTCCAATCAGTTGTCAGACCCGGGAAGCCCGACGCTCGGTTCTCCCGAGTCCCTCCATGGGGTGAGGAATGGGTCTTGTGAAATCCTGAGCAAAAACAAAGGCAAACTCTCTATCTCCGAAAGGGACGTTTGGGTCACATTTCCTCTCCGGGGGCGGCCTCCAAAGTTCTCAAAATGAGAAGGCAGAAATGAAAACACTTCAACTTTTTTTTTTTTTTTCTTTCCCGGGGCGGGTGTCTTGAACCCCTCCTCTCCCCGCCCCTCTGGCTCCGCTCTCTTCCCCTCCTCCACCCGTCTCCCGGACTCGGGGGGTGGCGCCCGGCACCCCGACACTCCCGGACACCGTTTGGGGAAGGGGTGGGGGGCGGGCACGGCGGACTACATTTCCCATCATGCCCAGCACTGCGGTCCTCACTAAACAAAAAAGGAAGTCGATTCCTTCACCTGGATCCCCGGCGGCCCCGAGGGAGGGAGGGGCCGGGACCGCCGACTGCGTTGGAGACTTTTCACTAAGTTCCTGGTCAGATGTGGTGTTTGTGTGTGTGCTTCTAAGTTGCACTGTCCTAGTTCAGGCTTCGGTTGCATTTCATGAAACCAGCATTGTTCGAGGCTGTGAGAACCCTGTCCTGTGTCTTCAGCTCGATAGATTTTGTTTAATTTAAAGCCTTTTGTTGTAAAAAGGTGGGGTTCATCTGCAGCCCCTCTGGTTCTCTGCCATCAGCTCCATGTGGACCCCAAAACAAGTTGCCAACCCTTCCTTTCTTGGCCCTTCTCCCTCATTCTTCTGTATTTTTGTGCATACTGAATTGTATATCACCGGGTAAAACTGTTCAGATGATTTGTTTAAATTTATAATCTTAATAAAAAGCCGATTATAGAGGATGGTGGTGTCTTGTTTTCAGATCTGCCTGGAGGTGGAGGGGAGGACAGAGGGAGGTAGGGAGAGACCCCTACCCCCATGCAAATCCCAGCTCTCCGGGGCCTGGGCGGGCGGGATCTGCCCACATCCGCAGGGCCGGGGGTGGGAGAGGGATTGGAAGTGCGGGATGTTGGTTGCTGGGGATGTTAGGGCTGCGCGCCTCCCCGGCCGCCTTCCCCAAAGGGCCCTGCCCCCCCCCCCCCCACGGGAACGGCCGCCCCCCGGGGTCTCCAGCAGGAAGCGGAGCCTGCCTTCTACACATTTCCTGCCCGGCCTGGAGCGCAGGGCCTGGTCGGCCTCAAGTCTAAGCCCTCTGCGGCCGGGGAAAGCAGCCTTGGGACCCTGGGGGGGGGGGGGGGGGGCTTTCTGGGCCACCCACACTCCCCGCCCCGCGCCTCCGCCCGCTCGTCCGCACGTCTCGGGCTGCAACTTGGGGAAGTTTTTTCCTTTTCCTTTTTTTTTTTTTTTTTTTTAAGTTGAGTTTGTTATCACTGCTCGGTGCCACTTGGTGGTGTGCTGGCGGCGTCTCCCTCCCTCCTCGCGCCCCTCCCCTCCCCCCCCCGCCTCTCTTCCCTCCCCAGTGGATGGAGGCAGGAAGGCTCCAGGCGCGCTCTCCCCTCTGACCACCTACGGAATGACCTCAGAGTGGGAGAATGTGCCAAGGCCCCGAGGAAGCTCGCGTTCTCCCCACTGGAACCAAATTCACATCTGGAGCCGCGGCTCCGGCCCGGGGGCGCGCGGGGGTGGTTCCAGCTTTACAAATAGGGGATAGGAAAGAAAGACTGAGAAAAAGAAAAAAAAAGCCAAGTGGCAGCTTGCTGTTTGTTTGACAGTGTCTCTCGGTGTCCCTCTGGCTCTGGCTGCTCTCCCCAGTGCTCTCGCGCTCGCTCTCTCACCCCTGCGCTCCCCTTTCCTGCGCAAGCCACCCCTCCGGACGACTGGCGCCCCCCCCCCCGCTTCACGCCTCCAGCAGCGACTGGAGGGGCTGCCGCCGAGAGGCCCCACCCCAGCCTCTGAGAGGAGGACGCACGGCAGTCCCAGGGGCCCTCTCGGCTTCGGGTCCCCGTGTCGCGCGAGGCGAAGTTCTCGGGGACACTCCTGAGCGCGGGGGGCCGCGAAGGTCTGCGATGGGGGCGGGGGAAGAGAGAGACTACGGAGGCGTGAGTTACGGGGAGGAACGGCACCTCCACCCCAGCCCCCCCACCCCACCCACCCAGGGCTGTTTTCTCGGCCTCCCACGGGAAGAGTCTGGAGCTGCTGGGGAGGGGGAACAGTGCGTCTCCCCGCTCCCCATTTTCTCCCTGCTGCACAGGGAAGTACCAGGAAAGCTGTTTGATGCACGGTTTTGCTTCAATCCACCAAGCCAGTTGCCAGAGCTCCCCCTAGCGCCACTTCCCGGGCGCTGCAGCGGCTGCGGCTGGGAGTGGGCGAGGCACAGCCGCCAGCGGCGGGGCCGCCGGGGGGCGGGGGGCTGCTCCGCGCCCACCTGGGGCTCAGCGCCCGGGCCGGAGGCAGCCCCGGCTGGAACGGGAGCCCCGGGCCGCGGGCGTCGCCACTCCGGGCCCGCGTCGAGGAGGGGGCACGTGGTCCAGTCGCCTTTGTTGGGAGCGCGGACCTGGGCACGGGAAGGGACCAGCCAAGGGGCTTGGGATCCTGCCCCCCCCCCCACGCCCCATCCGTCGCCCGGAGGCCTACGGCAGAGGAGTGCGGCTGGTAAGCTGCCAAACAAGAGCTGTGGACCCAACCGGATCCCGGGACCAGCGTTCCCCTCCCTTTTTGCCAGGTTTTCTGAGCTTCAGCAGTGCCAGGAGCCTCAAGCACATGGGGTTCTAACTGGTGGAGGGAGGCGAATGGAGGGCTCTGAGAGCCCCCAGAAGGGAGATACCCTTCCCCCCCCCCCCTTATTTTTTCAGGACTCAGGCATCCACGCAAAGGGTTAATGCCCCGAGCATAATAGGCAGTGACCCAAAACACAACCCACCGGCGATCTACATCTCACGCTAAGATATTCCTTACAAAACAGTTGCACTTGCTACTATGCTGCCCAACACGCGGGGGTGCGGGGAGGGGGGCGGGGGGGAACCACACCCCGCCACACTGTCCCCAACACAAGACGCTCTAAGCAGCATCTTCACTCAAACCCCCAGGGTACTGCACAGCACGCAGCATGCCCACCCAGAACATCCTGAGAGACTAATATTCCCGTCCGTAGCACAGACTGAAAGGCTGGGGGGCTGTGGAGGATGCCCGGTTATGACAGTCCCGGGGAAGGGGGAAGGGGACAGGCAGGCAGTCCATCCAGAAGTCCACAGACCCAGATCCACAGACAAGCCCCTCTTTCTCCAGCAAAAAAAGGCCAAGACAGACCCCACAAGAGCCCCCAGGCAGGAGTCGGGGTGCTGCTTGGGGAGGTAGGGAGACCCCCTCTCGCTCATTCCCCTAGGTCCCCCACCACCACCACCACATGCAAACACACACACACACTTCCCCCAGCTCCTAGAACACCGCAGATCCTGCTGCCCTTGATACGTGGCGTAGGGTTGAGCCAGGCTCCAAGCGGCGCTCCCAGCAACATAGAGCTGCTGGGATGACAGTCCAGATCCTCAGGGAGCTCCAGGCTGCCCTCCAGAGAAGCCAGGGGCTGGGGATGCCCAGGGTTCCCAAGAGAGCCACTGTGCAGGGCGCTGAGATCTGAGTGCTTTTATGGTGTATGCATGCGTGTGTGTGTGTGTGTGTGTGTGTGTGTGTGCGGGTGGGTGTGTGGGTGTGTGTGTGTGTGGGTGTGTCCTGTGACTTTCTTCTCTGCACTTGAGATTCCCACTCCCCGACTACAGACCCACTTCTCACTACAGCTATAGACGGCAGCTGCTGGTTTCCCATCTCCCAGCTTTGCCACCCAACTGAGACTGTCCTCTTACTGTCATATCCCAAGCCTGTGTTCTGTCCCCAACCTGGGGCCAGGGTAGGAGGGTGGTTGGTAGCCCCCACGGGAAGCTCCTGGGCAGAGAAGGGGCGCTCTTCTCAAGGAGGGTGGTACCCGGTGACAGACCAGAGGTGTCCAGAGAGAGGGGCTACAAGCCAAGCTAAAGGAAGCTTTTAGCTGTGGGACTTGGGGAGACCCAGGACACAGGCATGGCTGCTTCAGGGCTTGGTGACTAAGTGCAGCCAACACAGCCCTGAGGAAGGAACATTCTCCTTGCTTCTAGCTCCCAGCCAGGATAAGGAGGCTCCAGGGCCATCTGGTGCCTCCCAGGTTTGCCACTCGGGGAACCCCCAGGGGAAGGGAGGCTGCAGCCCCCAGGGCAGGGGGGCAGGGTTCTCCCAGCAGGCTCCGCGGCAGGGATAGTGACATGGGCCACCGTTGTGGGGCTGAGGGCAGCGAACAGCCAGCCGCAAGGAGGCCGAACTGGGAGAACTTGGCTGGAACTCCTGTGTGGCCCTTCCAGGCACTCCCACATACCACTGCAAAGGCTTTGAGGGGAAGCTGGGGTGATGAAGGGGTCTGGCCAGTAGGGATGGAGGGGGAAGGGCCATGCTGAGGTTGTCGTACCCACCTTCAGACACAGACACACAGGTGGTGGGGTCTGGGGACATCGTCGTCGGGGGGCGGGGTACAGGTAACATGATCTTTTCTCACATGCAGGTGAAAAAAAGGCCGACTAGAAGCTCTAAAATACTTAAGTGATTATTACTAGGTGTGGACTTTACAGACAAGCTTTGTTTGATCCTTCATACATTTCTAGATTTTCCAGATTTTCTGCAATGAGCACGTATCACTTTCATATACTTAGAAGAAAAAACTAACACTACATGTGTCGGAGAAAAATGTGACGTGACAGGTGCCGTAATCGATGTACGGACGGCATGCTTACGGAGCAGAGCGGGGGGAGCCGCTGTATTCAGCCTGTCTGGGCCAGGCTCCCCCCTGACAAACAGAACACGCACCAAAAAGCCTTGATTCACCAGAATTCGCCCTCCTGCGCTCTGTCTTTGTTAAAAGAAGCCTGAGACAAAAAACGACAGCTCATCTCGAGGATGTTGTTGAAGAGGCCTTCTGGAGGGAGCCTTGTTAATTCTCACCTCTGACCCCTGGCCCAGCTCCACCCCGTCCTACCCATCAATCATCACCGAATGATTCGCTCAGAGTTGCTAGATTACCTGGAGAGGAGGGTTGTAAGAGGCAAATGTGCTTGAGAAACGTTTGCAGCAACTTAGGCCAAAGAGCACTGGACCAGGAGTCTGGAGACCGAGGGGCAGGCTCTGGGTCGGCCACAGGCTTACCTTGAGACCTGGGCTGTCACTCTCCTAGCAAGCCCACATTCCCTCACCTGTAGGGATAGAGTTAAGAGGAGGGGAGTAGGGGCGCCTGGGTTGAGGCAACTTAACTTAGTCGGTTAAGTGTCTGACTTCGGCTCAGGTAGGTCATGATGTCGAGGTTCCCGAGTTCAAGCCCCGCATCGGGCTCTGTGCTGACAGCTCAGAGCCTGGAGCCTGCTTCCGATCCTGTGTCTCCCTCTCTCTCTGCCGCTCCCCTGTTCGTACTCTGTGTCTCTCTTTCTCTCAAAAGTAAATAAGACATTAAAAAAATTAAAAAAAAAAAACCCCGCAGCCACCTATAAGCACAGTCATCTGCCTGTTTCACTCATTCATTCAAAAAATCCATGCATTCAGTCATTCAAATATTTATCGAGTACCTATAGGTGCCAGGCAGCGAAGACACAGCCGAGAACAAGACAGACAAGGGCCCTGTCCTCATGGAGCTTACATTCCAGTAGGGGAGACAGACAAGAAGCAACGAAACCAATAAACATTAAGTTACATGTTACAGAAAAATAAAACAGGGCCAGACGGGACTAGGGAGAAGGTGGCGTGGCACCACTTCCGAGTTGGTGTGACATTTGCGCTGAGACCCAGACGGGTCAGCTGGATTAGTCAGTATAGGAGAGGCTCTGCGGTGGTAACA